ATATAGCCTAAGAACAATACTTTCTTTGTATAAAATTCGTATTTATTTAAATTTATATAAAGGTTCCAATTTTATAACTATTAAAGAACTTCTTTAATATAATTACTATAATCTTTTTTATTCTTACTATATATTAGGATATTATTAAAATAAATAATATATATAGTATTTATTAACCCTACTAATATATTATTAATATATATTTAAAATATTACTATTATATTTACTAACCCTATTAATATAATTAAAAATCCGTAGTACTTATATTTCGTACGAAACACCATTTTCTCTTCGTTTCCCTCCTAAATCCGAATCTTATAATATATATCCTTCAAATCTAATTTCGTAAAGATTTTCGCTAATAATAACCAATTAAAAATTTTTTAAATAAGGAGTAACGCTGTCTAGTGCTTCTTTGTAACTTTATTAAACGCCCTAAAATTAATATAGAGCCTTAACTTTCTACCTTTCTTTAAAATAAAAATAATAGGAGTACCTGCTAAGCTAATGAATAATCGAATCCATCCTTTTTAAAGTACCTCCAATAATTATTCGTAGAATATTTTCAATTCTTTAATATTAAAAGTATAAATTAACCCCTAAGGTGCGGATTCTCCATTAATTAAATTAATATAATATTCTAAATGATTATATTAAGGTAGTGGTATTACCGAAGTTTCGAAAACCGATTAAAATTCTTTATACTCCGGTAGAATAATTAGTTTAAAAATAATAGACTCGCTTCCTAACTCTTCTAATAAATCTAAGGATTTGGGTAATACTAATTTTAATAAGAGTACTAGTAAGGAATAGATACTATTAAATATAATCCGGAAGACCTTTAATAGGAGTGTAAAGGTTTATAAAGTACTAAACAATTCCGAAATAATAAATAAGGCTACAAACTCCGTTATTAAAGAAGGGGGGATTTCGAATGGGATATTTATATACGTAGGAGGGCGGAAATCCTTTTTTAACTTTATTATCTTCCTAAAATCTAATATAGGAATTAAATCCTACCTCAGCCCCATTAGAATAATTATAGCGTTATATACTTTTTTTACTACCGTTATACTTAGTTCTAAATTACTAATTTTATTATAGAACCGGAACGTCTATTACTACTAATTAATATCAGAATTCTATTTATAAAATTAAGGGTACCCAAAGATAATTTCTACGGCCAGGGATTTAATAATAGTAAATATAATTTATTTTATTTATTTAGTATTATAAAAGTTATATATCTTAATAAAATAGGTAATCGAACTATATATAGGAATAGACTAAAAGGAGAAATTAATAAAATAATAGGGTATAAGATTAATTTTTATATTCGATAGGAGTAAATACTTACTAATTAAATTTAATTCTATATTTAAATTTATTAACCCTCGAATACTCTGCTAATCTCTATAAATTCTTACTAATAATATCGTTTCCAAGCACAACTACAATCTACCTGCATTATTTTAAATAAGTATAATTATTATTTAGGCTATAATTAATATAGTATTTATACTATATAACGGAGCGCCCGCGGAAATAGGATAATTTGATTACCGGTAATTAACTTTACTATAATTAAAGTAACTTCGGTTTTAATATATTAATATGAAATAATTTATTATATTATATTTATAATAAGTATTCGGCGGCTTCGGTTAGGTATAACGATTATATATATAACCCTTTTGATTATAGAGGGGGTAAATAAAATTAGAGTTTATTTAAATAATTAGGAGAGGACGATAGGATAGATTGGGGGGATTAGTATTACAGGACGAAGGATGGAAAGTATTTAATAAAGAGGTAGGGGTAAATTAAAATGAAGAAAATAGTTAAGTAAAACCCTAAAAATATTTAATTTTAATAATATAATACAAACGGTTTAATACTTTCTAAGCCCTCTAACCATTCTATATATATTATTACTTCGTTTATTATATTAATACTAGCTACTATAAGGACGCCTTATTTGACTAAAGTGCGTAACTAGTTAATCCATATAATAATCTAAATATATTTTAATTAATTATAAAAAAAGTTGAATTCTTTAGTATAGTAATAATTATAGAAATTATAAACTATTTCGGAGGCGTTCTATTATATATATTCGAATTTATTGAAGGCGGACCGTTCAATAGTTTAAGTATTACTATTATATTCTATTTTTAAAAAAGTACGAAGGTCGTTCTATATTAGCGTATTACGAATAATATTATAACTGGGCTTATCCTAAAGGGCTAGTATATATTTAATTTAAATATTACTAAAATTACTTTTAATATAATTAATAGCGAAAAAAAGTAAAGTATAGGAATATTCGTAAAAGTACATATTAATATTATAAAAGTAATTTCAAAATTAAAAGAAATTCTTACCTATAAATTTAATAATATTATATTTAAAATAATACTTAATATGGGCGGGTAGGGCTATTAGTAGTAGGGGAATAGCCGTAGTAATAATTATAAGAGAGGGGGTAATAGGGGAAAATATAGTAAAGATACAAATTTAAATTATAAAAGAGGTAATTTTAATAGTAAAAGCCAGTAGGGATAGGAGGGTAGTTACTAATAAAATTTTATTTGGAAAGGCCTATGAATACGAATTAATCCTACTAAAATATATACGACGGAAGGTAATTTAGGAGGAGTTTAATAGTAGTAAACCAAAATTCGAATAACTATTACTTATATATAAATTTATTAGTTTTAATAAATTAAAAGTATTAATAAGAAACCTAGGGCGGCGTAGGGGGGGAATTTTTATTTAATAGACTTTATAGTAGGTTAGTACTATTATAATAAGGGCGGAAGAGGTTATAGGACTTTAATAGTAGTAGTTAAAGGGGTAACTATATAAGAGGGACGAAGAGTTGCCTCGGCAGTACGGGAAATGAACCGACCGCTATATATATATGTTTTAATAGTATTAATTCAATTCCTAAAAGAAGAATTATTAATTTATTAGGACGTAAGGGAAAAGTAGGCTAAAGTAACTACAATCGAGGCTATACGTAGGGGATAGTAAGTTAGATGGTAATTTAAAAATATATTAATAATTATTAATTATTATAAAGAACGCCTATTCGAATTATTTTTATATTCGTATAAACTCTATTCTAACGTAGCTAGTAGTTATAGAGCTTTAAATTAGTATACTACTATAATGCGGCGCTGGAACATCCCCCTCGTGATTTTATTTTATCGAATATCTTAATACTTTCGAATTAGAGATTAGTAAGGCGAAGGGAGGCGTCGGTCGTCCTAATACTCCTAGGTAAGAATTTAGTAAGACGATAGAGAGCGTTGGCATTACGGCGTTGTAGTATTCCGTCCCCGGCAGTTCCGAGTCTCCTTCCGTGCCTATACTAGCCGGTTTCCGGTATCTGAGGCGGTAATCCTTTGGCATCCTAATAAATTTGCTTAATACTATTATAATAGCGCTGTGGGGTGCTTAGTTAGTACGACGAGCGCCGTCCCTTTAATTTATACTAGATTCGTTATAAAATACGAATATTTCCATAATAAATAAAGAGATTTTTAATATTTATTCAGCTATTAGTATAGGAAATTACTATAATATTTTTATATAGAGTCGCTTCTTCTTCTATTTCTCCTTTCGAAGATACTACTGTATAGTTTCGGTTGAAATGTATACGTTATATTTATTAGTTAGAAAGGTACAAATTTTATTGAGGTATAAATTGGGTTTTAGTATAAAGAGGTTTATAATTTCCTTTATAATATTAATTATAGTTAATAAAATATAGGGAGTAATATAGTATATACTATACTTTAAATACCTATATAAGAAGTTTTTTAATATTTTAAGAGGCTTACGATAGTAGAAATACTTTATTAATATCCGTTAAAGTACGTTTATACTTCTACGTACTCTTTACGCTTATACTAATAATTTTAACAATGTTATTAGGATGCTCATTATTTACCAGCATTATTATTATCAATACCTTCTAGCGGGTATTGGGGTAGCGTACTATATCGATAACGGTTTAAAAGATAATATAAATATTAAAATAGATAATTATATGATTTAGAGTATTAAAATATTGACTTTTTGTACTAGTTTTGGCTGGATTTTAATATTAAACGATTGAGTTGAGTTGTGTAAAGCAATGTCAAATGGCTAGATTTGTTAAATGCGGTGTGTGTGTGTGTGTGTGTGCACGCACACACCCCGCCAAGACTGCATAGGCGATTGAGTGTGGGAACTGCATAAAGATGGCAGTGGGTGGAAGGCAGCACCTCCCAGATAATGGAAACTTCCCTAACTTGATAAAGCATCAGCGCACTCCCAGCCAAACTTGCGCGCATCCCAAGTTTCAAGGTGTAAACTTGATTGCTTCAACCACAAACTATAGTACCCACAGAACTTCGTATATGAGAAGGTTTATGCTATGCTTGTCTTATCGGTACGTGGTCCTACTTGGCTTGATATCCGGAATTGCATACGCAGCACCAGCTTCTGCAAACACACGGCCACAACACGGCCTTTCAAGATCTATAAATGGAAAGCTGGTCCCAGTTGGTAGAGGCCTGCTTGTAAATACTGTAGATATTGGTTTACGTGCATGAAGTCACAATATGGTCTGAAATGGTCTCCATAGCGTCAAGACGTAGGATGCGCGGATGTTACCTAGGCTCGGAGTGCGCTGAGGTTCAAGTTCTTTCGTAAAATCACCAAGACTGGTTTATCATTTCACCCTCCTCCGAGTGTCATTTTCACAGGTTCACATGGTCACATGGACGTGTTAGTCATCTTACACCTTAAGACACAACCTGCTGTGGCCATTTTCCCATTCACTGGGCTTTCCATTCAGTTCCCCGTGGCTCCCTTCCGCTACTTACCTTTTCGCCGCAGCCCTGGTTTCTCAGTCCTCTTCCCTCAAGCGCAACACTTCGGAGCATCGCGACAGGCACGATCTAGGCTCTGCACTTTCCATTTCGAATTTTCGATGGTCCTCAATTACCATGGAAGAGAATTCAGCCGACCCTTCTTGGGCGGCGACCAAGCTTACCACTGAAAGCCCGTTGCTTCCTTCTCAACCTTTCCATAACGGCACCAAGAATGGCTTCCAGTCCTCCTCATTGCCCCACTTGGGTGACTTCATCACGAAGTTGATCGAGGACGCGTACAAACTCCAGAGCGCGAACGCAGAACTCGAGCGCACCAAACAGCTTTTGCGGGAGGCCGAGGACAAGCTTGCTTCTTCCGAGGAGAGCAAGTCTCATTTGAGCACAGAGATCGACAGAACAAAGCAACAGTTGCGTCGGGCTGAGAATGCGCTCAAGAGAGAACAGAAGATGACCGAGCGACTCGAAGCAGACAATGTGTCGCTCAAAGCTAGTCTGCGCAACCACCAAGACTTGCTGAATGGCACTGAGAGTCTTCGCATCAGGGCGGAAAACAAGCTGCGAGCAGTTGATAGTCGCACAACCATCCTCGAGGCTGTTATCAGGAAGAAGAATGAGGCTTTGGAGCAGAAAGATGAGGAGATGCAGTTCAAGATTCACAGCTACAGAGACCGTCTTAGGAAGATCGAAGGCCAGTTTCGAAAGACCTGGTCAATTATCCGCCTACTTGCTGCCTCCAACTTCTGTGGGGTGAAGGACGGTCTCATATCTGGTATCTTCAACAACCATGACGTGCTTGAAGAGGGGTTAATACTGGCGGAGATCACGAGGGAGATGGATGGGGAGTTTGTCGAATTTGTCCGGGAATTCAGACGGGATCTTCGCCGCACCAGGGCTTCGGTCGGTAGTCTTTTTTGAGATGCTCTACACATGAGGTGAGTTAACACATCTCCATAGCTCTTCCACTGTTAAACTCATTGGCTCCAGTAACTTACTTTACAGACCAACCACTTTGCAGATATCAGCTCATTTGTTTGATGCAATCTTGTATGGATGTTGAGGCTCAGAATCTTTGTGTGGATGGTTATGGAGCGGTTTGTGGGATATCTGCCTGTCCTTGAGCTTCGTACAGCTTCGAAGTTGGCCTTAACCTACGCTGGCCGCTATGAATACCTGGTTTGGAGGGGCTTCTAGTTTCACCGGTTAGCGAAATGGGAGGGCAGATCTCGAGGATTGGTAGGCTTGTGAGGTGTGAAATGATCCTGATGCCACAGCTTATTGTGGAACATATATCACTGGCAATGAAGGGTTCAAGACAAGGGCCTGAAATCCTTCGTGTATTTCAAGGAGGGTATAATCGCCAAAGTATCAAAAGGGTTGTTACAAACCTCACTCTTCAGCCAAATTAGATTTGAGACGAGGACTCCCTGAGGCCAGCGGCACCGAGAGATGGTTATCACGAGCCAGAGATTCTTTCGCGCACGTCTAAACCTACCTACCGTATAATTTCGGGGCACTGGGTTTTAGGTTCCCTGGAAATCAGACATAATTCGTAAGCGTACTGCAACTTTGATGCCCATCAGAAATCGCATGCAAGACGGTGATTGTCGATATCTCCACCCTCCAGCGCCCTTTGAAAGATAGGTAGGAAAAGGCAGGACATTGTAAGAATTAAGTATACACTCCTCCGGGCTCTTGAGCTGTCACCCCCACTATTTTTCCCGGGCATAAAAAGCACATATTCGTGCGGTATGCTTACAGTTTATGCTTGATTTCCAAGGAACCTAAAACCCAGTGCCCCGAAATTATACGGTAAGCAATCCAAGAACCAAGAGAAAACATGGTACTGCAAAGAATCAGGCGGATGGTTTTTAGGTTCCCTGGAAGTCAGGCATAATCTGTAAGCATACTGCAACATTCATGCCCACCAGAAATTGTTTGCAAAATGGTAATAATGAATATCTCCACCCTCTAGCGCCCTCGAAGGAAAAAAGGAAAGGAGGGAAAAGGCAGGGCATCAGGAAAATCGAACTTACAGTACTTCGGGGTAGCAACACATCTCCTCCTCTTATTTAGGTGGGCATAAAATGCACATATTCGCGCAGTATGCTTACAGACTATGCTTGATTTCCTGGGAACCTAAACTTCATCCGCCCGAGTCCTTGCAGTAGAAACTAACGGAACCACGGCGTTGGGAAAACGGTCAGATGGGTTTCTCCTGCATACCATACTTGGAGGCAATGGCACAGTAGTTGGGGAAGTCCATTCCCGCTGCAGTGGGAATGCATATTACATATATGGGTACGAACCCTAACACGAGAAGTGTCTTACATACGTAGATCTTGAGATATTGCGGTATATAGGGTATGTTCAAGCTACAGATTATGCAGCTGCGCGGAATGTTGGTAATGTGCCCGGATTGCCCTACATTAATTTCCAGGTTTCAGTCAACAAAAGTTGCTGCTTTATTTCCCCTCACTACCTACTTATCTGCTCTCTCTCTCTTCTTAATCTGCTCTCTCTCTTCTTAATCTGCTTTCTCTCTTCTTAATCTTCTCTCTCTTTCCCCTTCCTCGTCTGTCCTTTCCACTATATTTCATTGACAGGACAACCATCGTCTCCAAATACCAACCGCGAAGCTCGTCAGATCTCGTGTACAATTCAAGTCAGGCACGCCACAGCTCAACCCATCCCTTTTCTTCCCATCGGACGGCATTCCTCCGGCAAGCAGTAGGTATTCCATTTGCCCGCACCTTCCTCTTGCAGCCCAGCCACAAGCTCACGAGGGTGTCGCTTACAGATCGAGGACAGAATGCAACTCAAGCCTCCCAGCGATACGAACGCTCGCGTAGCGGGCACCTCGAGCGAGCAACAAACCGTTCCGAAGTCGGCAGAGGCAAACGTGCCTAAGATGGAAAACACCATGTTGGCAGCGGAGAACGAGAAGTTGAAAGCGGAGCTGGAAGACGTCAAGCAAGAGCTGCGTATGGCAAAGATCAAGGTGGAAATGGAGGAGAAGGCGAGGGAGCAAGAAGCCGAAAAGCTGCAAAAGGCAAACGAGAGCCTCGAGGCTGCCCAGAGAAAGATTGCTTCGATGAAAGAAGCCAACACCGACATGGTTTTGGCCTTCCATACCACTGGACACCAGCTGCACAAGGCGACTGAGGAGGCCATTTCTGCTCAACATGCACGGGATGCTCTCCAAAAGGAGCTCGAGGGCATCAAATTTGTACGAGCCGCCCTCGAATCGGAGCTCGGGGCTAAGGAGCGTGAGTTGTGCAAGAGCCGGGCAGAAATGTCTCTTCAGGGCGAATGCCTCGAAACCACCAAGCAGCGATTGCTTGCGGTGGAAAACATGCTGCACAATTCCCGGAAAACGAGTACCACTGTGGCTTCGGAACTTGAGTTCACCAAGCAGATACTTCAAGACGCAAACAATGAGATTGGTGCTCGCGCATCTGCACAGGCTGCTCTACAAACAGAGCTCGAGGACACGAAGCACAAGCTGCACTTGGCAATGAAGGAGAAGGCGTCCAGCGAAACGGAGAGGAAGCTTCTGAATTCATCGCTCGCGATGACCAAGCTGCATTTGAGCAGGGTGGACGCTGCACTTGCTGCTTGTATGTCAGAGAACAATGTCCTGAAAGGTTTTGTTTCGGGTCAGTCCACCACCACTGAAACCGCAGTCTCCCAGATTGTCGACAAGATTGCTGCCCTCGACCACTCCATCAAAGGAAGATTATCTGCTGTCGAGAACTCAGTCATCTCTACCCTGGGCGAGCTGCACAACGGAGTTCAGAGCAACGTGGAGCTGGTAGAGGGGCTCAAGCTTCAGTTGAGCGAAGCAAAGCTGCCGGCTGGTGTTCTTGAGACCACCACGGCCGAAGAAAGCAAAGAGTGCGCTGAGCGCAGCTCCATGGAGATTATAGATGAAGAAACATCCATGCCAGCATCTCTCAAGCTGCGCTTGCAGGAGGTAGTAGAGGAGAGCAAGCGTCTCACGCAGGCGGGTAGCGTCGCTGAAGATCCCGATGCCGCTGATCCGAAGACCAGTCATGAGGTCAACGAGATATTTGGTGACTACTTGACCCACGTCGTGGAGAAAATGGTCAAGGAGGAGAAAGCAGTCCAGGAGGCCATTCGCAAGGCTAGGGAGAGGATTATCAAACACCAAGACTGGTTGTACAGGTTCCGTAAGGTGATTGGGCAAGATGAAAGCATTTTCGATGAATTGACGCATGTTGGGTTGCGTTTTAAGTGTTGGGAGCGGAGCGAATCTTTGATCAAGATTCTTTTCGAAGTGGAAGAGCAGTATGATGATGTTCTAGATCACTTGGATACAATTCTGGAAGAGTGTGACGAGATGGTGAAGGGCCGTGAAGCTGTGCTGGAGCTATGAAAGCCAGAATCAGGGATGGGGTTTGGATCAATGACTGGCTTGGCATGATAGGAGGGTGATGTGATGTATTTGACTGATAATCAACCATATCTTTCAAATGGTGCAGAGAAATCCTTGGTTACAGCTTTTCGGAACCTTAGGGACGGTGTTGGGAAGATTAATTGAAAGTGGAAGTTTTGTTCAACGGCGGGTGAGATAGGTGGCAATCGACAGGGTCGTTTGGCTTTGCAGTAGTGCTGTAACTGGCGTGTTCTGGCTGCGCAGATAGGGCACGGCTTCCCTAAACTTCTTTCCGGTTTGCAGTCAGGGCACCTTCCGTGCTCGATTCGCGAGGGACCATCCCTTAATTTCCTTGTTTTTTCTTCTTTTTCTTTTATTTGGAAGAGGGGAATTCGCTACTGCACACCTCATTCTCTCGGGCGGCGGAGGTAGAACGCTGAGGATCGAAGGTCAGTTCCTATCTGTTTCCCCACTGGCAACTCTGCTGCCCATCTAGTAGATGTTCCCACACTCAAACACCTGTGCAGTCTTGGCAAGCGGTGCGTGCGTGCACACACACACACACACACACCGCACTTCTATATTGCACAACTTTATCAAAATCTATTATTTGACAACAATTTCTATATTAAATTAAAGCTATTTCAATGTGCAAAATAATTAAGATACTAATAATTAATTAAATCCATCACGATAATACCTCCCAAAACGATCTTTAATTCGAAATCCACTGGCGTAAAACGGTCTTGTACTCGAAACGGCGCGCTAATAGTCTACTTTAATAATAATTAAAATAAGGAAAATCCTAGCCTAATAATTCTATAACGCGCCTCCTCCCAGCCTAAAAAGAAGAACTATAAAGCTAAATAATTTATTAAAATTATCCCTAAAATTATTTTTAAGAAGAAAGTTACTCCTATTAAAGCTATTCCTAAAAAGGCCGCCGTTAAAAAGAAGGGAAAGGCCCTAACTGCGGCTATAATTACTAAAGACCTAATGCTAAAGCCGCCTTCGTCCCCTCCTTAACTTCAACTTACTACCCTTATTAATATTTCTAATAGTAATAAAGATTCTAACGATAATAACGAAGTTGAGCAATAGCTCTCCGTCCACCTTACCCCTAAGAAGCGGGTTTTCAATACCTTATTTATTTATTAGGTAATAATAACGGTGAAATAGCCTCCCTAATTAAATTAATTACCTTAGCGCTACCAGCCCAGCTCTATATTCGTAAACCGATTATTTTAATACTGCTACCGCTTCCTAAATACCCCCGGTTAATATAAGTTTAATTTAATATAATTGGTTCGTATATTACTATTAACTATAATAAACTACCTCCTATTAAAGAACGTAATATATTTAGAGAAGTAGAAGTTAAATAAAATAATAACGAACTCTATAATTAGCAGTTTAGAACGACCTTACTCAGCGAAATTAAATAACTATAATAAAATTACGTACAAGAGATTATTAATAATAATACGGCCGTAGGGATAAAACAGCTAATTGTCTTATATAATATTAGTTATACTGCTACTATTTATAATAACTATTGCGCTTGGGTTACTATCTATAATAAAATTATTTCTAGGAAGAATTTCTTTAATAGGTACAATGATATTGAGTATAAGACCGTTATAAAATCGTGCCTCCACTATACTAGCTAGTACTGAAATAGAGTAAAAACTATACCAATACGAAAAGTACCCTACTATACTAAAATATAGAGAGGAGCGGATTTGGAGTTGGTTATAGCCTTCGTTCTTAGGGATTGAGATAGAGTAGCAAAACTACAGCTTATTAACCACCTCTAAAGCTCAAAGAGGAGAGCGAGGCTCCCCTTATCGAGCCTTAAAATGGAGGAGTAGATTTAGAAATTGGTCTTCCTCTAGAAGGGATATTAGGGCTTACTAGTACTAGGATATTTAATAATAATTCTATAGTCTAGAGTGGGATTCTTTAATCTATTTCCGAGAAAGAATATTATTTAGTTTTAAATTCCCGTCCCTCCTTCCTTACTCCTAGCTTGGGATCTCCTCCTTATATCCTTTTAATTATTATATTAATAGGGTACCTCTTAATTAATACAATAGATCTGCTCCCTAGTAGATTATAGACTAAGACCCTAATACCTCTACTTATCTACTCCTGAGGGATTCCATACTAGAGCAAGGAGCCTAAAGCGAAAATAAAGAAAAAGCAAAAAAGAACGAACCACCCCAAATTAGCACTACTATTTTACTATATTATTCAAATTTCGATTAACTAAGCCGCCCGCTAATAAAATCCCCACTACCCTATCCTTCTATAGTAATATACCCTCTACCCCTACCCCCTCTCGTAATTTAATTAATCTTTTTATTACCCTAACCCTATAAATAGCTAAAACACTATAATTCTAAAAGTTACGGACTCTAATTAGTACTAAAAAATTTAAGTATATTATAATAAATACTATACTGGTAGAGGTTGAGAAAAATTTGGAGGAGGATTAGTAACGAAAGGAGCGTATAAGGTTAAAGCTATATAGTACTATATATTAGGAGTTGGTATAATTATAGGCGTATAGTCTTAATTATAAATATAAGAATTATAATAAAACTATTAAATACTAAATATACTATATTATCGACGGGAATATAACTTATTATAACTTTAATGTTAAAAATATTAGTAAGTAAGTACGCGCAATCTTATTAGGGAAGGCTACAATAATTAACCCGCCCAATAATTTAATACGAAAAATATTAGGGAATAAAATAATAACCGCCTTTATTAATACTAGTAATAGCAATAAATGTAAGGGAGGAGGCGATAGTTTATTAGTTAATATTAATATTATTAATAATATTAATAATAGTAACAATAGTAATAATAGTACAAATATAAAAATTATAAACAATCTACTACAAATTATACTAAGGAGGAATAATTTTAAAGGTCTATACTAGCTATACCCTTATCCTCTATACCCGCTATACCTATTACCCTACTAGTACTTCCCTCCCTACTTTTAATTTCCCTAAATCCAACTACCTTCTTATACTACTAACGGCTCTATAACTAACTTAGTAATTATAAGCAGCTCTAATTATAATAATATAGCGGACGCTCTCCCTCTATTAAGTAAAGTAATAACTATTAATTCGTATATACCCTTAGAATATTTTACTACTATATTTTATAAGTACCCAACCAACTACGAAATTCTCGCTACTAAATGTACTAACCCTCCTTCTATCTCTATAGTAACTATAGTCTCTACTTAACTACTAGTACTATTATTAATTGTACCGCCGTTGGTAGCGGGTGAAAGAGACGAGGGTAAGGAGATTAGAGAATTCCTAATAGAGGCCGGAGAATTATTTATACTATATCCGCCCGTACCTTCGATTTTCGGTCTCCGTTTATTACTACTACCCCCCGCCCTACTTAATTGACCGGTTAAAGAGCTTATTACCGAATTTTTTAAATCCTTCTATTATCGTTACTATATTAAGAAATCAATTGAAGCGGGGCTAGTATATAGAGTTTTAATCGCTTTAAAGAATAAGTTCCAAAATAAAGAAGTACCTTCCGATATATTCGCGCTCAAAGAATAGCCGGTAAAGTAGTTTACGAGGCTAAGATTTACCTATAACTTTTATGTAGTATTTAGAAACAGTATTAAAAACTTCCTTAAAACTAAATACGTAGTATTAGTAATATAGCTAAACTATAGTATATATACCCTTTAACCCCTATTACTATAATTTAATTAACTAGTATATACTCTAAACTCCCAATTTAAAATTATACTCAAATATAGTATTACTAGAGCTCTCGCTTTTATAATAGGCAATACTATTATTAATAGTCCTAGCGAGTAATAATAATAATACAAATCGATTTATAGCAAAAGAGGGGGGTTTCTAATATTTTAGTATTATTATATAAATAAATACAATTTCTAGTACTTCTAATACTTTTAGTACTTTTAGTACCTCTAGTATTTTTAGTATTTCTAGTATATAACTCAATTTAATACATATAAATCTATCTCTCCCTTCTACACCCTTTACCGCCGCCCTAATATAATACCCGTCTCTTTATATTCGACTAGCTCGTTAATATACAATTCCCTATAATTTTTATTTATATTATTAATTCGATCTATTATTAATTTTATATTTTTAAAATAATTACGGATCTATTATATTCTATACTCTACGTTCTACGCTAATCATTTAAAAAATATAATAAAGTCGTCGTTTAATATCTTATTACTACCCTCGTTACAATATACCCTTTTAAATTACTACTTAAAATTACTAAAGTATACTTTAATAAAATTAAATTCGGGAGAGTATAGTAGTAAATATTATAATGAAACCCCCTTCTAATTGTACGCGTACTAGAATTTGGTATAGGGGTGCTAATTAACGTTATTTATTACTAAAATACTATTATAGCTAGGAAATAGATTTATTTTAGGGAGTAAATATTTTACTATCCAATCCTAAACCCCGGCTAAATTTATTACACTTCTAAATACTAGTATATTGAATAACCTATCTACTATAATAGCTGGGAGGTAGTAATACTACGTACTACAGATAAACTTATTTAATACTATTATAATAGCGCTACAAAATACTTAACTAATATAATAAGCGCCGTCCCTTTGATTTATACTAAACTCGTTATAGAATACAAATATTTTTATAATAAATAAAGAAATTTTTAATATCCATTCGGCTACTAGTATAGGGGATTATTATAATACCTTTATATAGAATTGCTTTTTTTTTTACTTCTCCTATCGAAGATACTACCGTACGATTTCGGTTAAAATATATACATTATACTTATTAGCTAGAAAGGTATAGATTTTGTCAAAGTATAAATCGGGTTTTAATATAAGAAAGTTTATAACTTCCTTTACAATATTAATTACAATTAATAAAGTATAAAAAGTAATATAGTATACACTATATCTCAAACGCTTATATAGGAAGTTTTCTAATATTCTAAGGGGTTCGCAATAGTATAAATACCTTACTAATATCCGCCAAAGTACGCTTATATTTCTACACACTCTATATACTTATACTAACAATCTCAATAACGTTATTAGAATACTCATTATTTATTATTATTATTATTATTAATACCTTCTAACGGGTATTGGGGTAGCGTACTATATCGACAACAATTCAAAAAACAACATAAATATTAAAATAGACAATTATACAATCTAGAGCATTAAAATATTGACTTTTTACACCAGTTTTAGGTAGATTTCAATATTAAATAATCGAATTGAATCGTGTAAAGCGATGTCAAATGGCCAGATTTATCAAATACGGTATATATGTATATACACGCACGCACCGCTTGCCAAGACTGTATAGGTGTTTGAGTGTGGGAATGTTAAGTTGGCTACCCCTATCTTGTGCATTGCCGAATCCACAAATATAAACAATCACCAAGTGCATCTCGTTCATTGTGTCACACACTCACAGTGATCCTCCAGCTCCTGAGTCTCGAAAATTACCTTTGACCCTTAGTTCCTATGGTGGAACTATTACATGATGTTTGATGACACTTTAAATTCCATCTGCCCCTTGCATACCAAAGGAAGACTGACATCTAATCCATCCAAACCCAGGCACCAAGCCTTGTATTACACTTACATAGCTACCATAGAAGCTACTTACTTCCCACAGAAGAACCAAGTATGAAAAATGAGGTAGTTATGATTCGGTGCAACATTTTGCACAACTTTCCACGCTGACCCCTCCGTGCCCGGGTACAGTGGGAGAATGGTCACCGAGAGTTTCCCATCTCTCTGCCAGAGAATCTTTGGTCTGAACACGAACATCATCCGTCCCAAGTCAGCAAATTTTCAAGGAGAGCCTTATATTTCCTTCACAAGACATCTTTACCGCACGGCTGGAAATTCCCATCATACCCCACAGCAACTCTGCAGCATTTAAAGGGATAGAAAGAAGAACTTACGGCAGCCTGACACCCTCTTGACCAGTAAACACCGTGGCGATCGCACCCTCAGAGCCCGCTCCCACCGACGTCCAAAGATTTTCCTGCTGATTCCACCCCATGCGCTTGTACGACAGCAGCTCCGTGTACCGGGCGTTGAGGATAGCGATGTGAGCAAACTGAGTGTTCGGCGGACTGCCCGCGGCCATCGGCTGGTGCACGACTACCCTACACACCTTGTCTTCCGGGCTGGCGCCGTCATTGGAGTCGACGCCGGCTTCGCACCAGGGGCAAAAGCGCTCGCCGATGGAGGACCAGTCAATCCAGTTGGCGTCTGCCCGGATGTTCAGGATCTGAGAGTCATTGTTGGCCTGAGAGTTGCCTGTGCCCGGAGTAATGGACTTGGAGGAGGCACCGCCTGGACCGGGGAGAATATTGGGTGCTGGGGAGGCCTGGGCGGGGTAGTAGCCGGTGGAGATAAAGATGAAGAAGACGGGAAGGAGCGATGCCAACATTATGGCTGTGAGAAATGGATAAGTTGGGAAGGAACGAATGAAGTTGGTTCAACTCGCTGAAATCCTGGATGAAGAAAGTGAAACGGTGAACACATACAGGCTGTTTGTAAGTCCACCAGGGCTCCGCGGGCGGGGGCATTGATGGTTTGTATTTTCTGTTTCCCTCTGATTTCCAGTAGATTGATACAACTAAATTAACCTTGTGGTACGCATTGTCGGCATGTTTCTTTGACGATTGTGACGCATACAAAGATTCTCAACCCCCCTCCCGCACCAGCGTCCTGACAAGAAAGGCAGTCTTTTGTCCCCGATATCCACTGAACAACAAAGCCCCGTTACAACTTCACTCACACGATGTGATTACCAACGCACAGTAGAGCTCGAAATCAGAGGTTGTTTGCTCTATAATAGCACACACGATCGAGTTGTGTTGTTGTTCTAAATCAATTCCACTTCTGACCTCCCCAACCCCCACCCATAACACCATCGCACGGTAGAATACAGCCTTTCTTCCGAACCACGATCACGGAAAGTCAGTCCCGCCAATGATATCCCGCGTATTTACACAACAGTTGAACTTCTTCCTATACACCACCCACTCCCCGCCGGGCGCCACGCCCTTGGCCCCTGCATAAGCCGCCCATCCATTTGGAAACTTATCCGCGAACAACTGGGGAGGAGTATAGTTTTCGTCAGAACGGACAGAGTAGCTGAAAGTTGGACTACATATGTTTCAGTTTTGGCCATTAGCATCTCCTTTTGCAACTTAGAATCTTGATCTCCATCCGCTCCAATCGTGACATGTCCGCCAAGTTGAACATAAGATAGAAGCCCTGGAGAAGGCCAAGAAAAAAAAAGATAGAAAAAGACTCACGGCCTCAATGATCCATCCCCCCCTTGCTGGTCCTCCCTCCCGCTCATGTGGAAAGTCGCCACCCCCGGGGCGCACCTCGTCGGCCTCGTCGGCAAGTCCACCGACATGCCGTAGCCCATCCGGCTGTAGGAGAGAAGCTCGGTGAAGTTGTTGTTCATGATGGCGACGTGGATCGGCTTTTGCGGTGAAGGTAGTCCAGGGCGGTCGGAAATGGGCTGGTGAACGAAGGCGTGGCAGAACGAGTCGAATCTGAACTCTGGAAGACCGGCCATGCTGTCCGGGACCGTCCAGTAGCACCAGGGACAGAAGCGGTCCGAGACGAGAGATTGGGCGTTTCCGTAGCAGGCGAGGTGGAGGAGGAGGGAAAAGAGAATAGTGAGGGGGTACATTCTTGTTTCGATGAAAGTCTTGCAAAGAATGGTTCTTGTGAAGTATGTACAGATGCTGGCTGATACCGGAAAAGACCACAGTGATGAAGAACTCGGTGTATCGACGAGGAGGTTTGTGAAACAGTGAAAGATGAGGGTATCCGGTTCAAACACCAACTTTTTAGAGTTCTGGAAAGTATCTACTAACCAGCCCGTACTTTTGGGAGACAAAGAATGGGGTTAACAATGGTCTGAAAGAGAGCAAGCAGTCGAGTGATTTCCCCAGCAACCCTAGGCGCCAGGTGCTGTAGACAAAGGGAACCCTCATTAATATAGAGTAATGACTATGGAGGTCTAAAGTACTCCAATTAGCACCGAAGCATTTTCTCTTCAAAAAGAAAAATTGAAAAAACTCTCTCTCCTTCAAACAAGTTATGATTCTCGGATATATTTGAATTCAGATCATGAAGCAAGAATTGACAAAAATTTT